AGAAGCCTTCCCCAAACTGAACTCGTCTCCATATTGGTTTGGTATGCTCGGGAGACAGTGCCCTCCACTTCTTTATGCAGCTGAAGTTGGCTCATTTCAGTTAACTGGGAAGTACAGTGAGCACAGACTAGTCACCTGTATGCACCAGCCTGGCCTCATGTCAAATGTCTCCCTTGTACTTCAGAAGGTTGCACCAGCACTCCTGAGTTCCAATCATGGAACAGGAAGAAAATTAGGCGCTTCCACATCATCATCATCTCACCTGGTTTTCTCTGAGGCTAAACTTTGACTATCCTCTCATCTCTTTTCTTGTAGGAGAATAGATGTGGAGTATATGCTGTTGTTGTGCTGAATATTTACTGTAGACAAGCAAGTGTGAGGGCAGGGTATGTTTTTCCACAGCAATATCAGGTGGGCCATGGAGCACAAGACCAGCAGGGATGCTGTAAGACCGTAATGGTCATTAACAGAGCTCCAAAATGTCACTATTGGATGTTATCTTAACCATAGACTAGTCCAACTTTCTCATTCTATTGATGATGAAACTAAAATGCAGAAAATACTTTGCCAAGGTTATACAGTTGATAAGAGACAGAACCAAGACTACAAGGAGGCTTTTTGTGGTCATTCTTGAGTGTTCTTTATCATGAAGATGCCAATAGATACTATGTCTGATATGCAAATGAATTATCTACATCAAAAGTAAAAGAATTTCAGTAAGATCTTTAGTGCCAAGTATTTAAAATTGTTTTGTAAAGAGAGTGTAGTTTGTAGACTTTCTTCAAAGAATGTTACAAATTAGTATGCAGGAGAAGCCTATGGATGCACTTAGGAAAACAAACACTTCCCATTGTTCTTTGGGGAATTGCCTGTCATTCTCCCCAAGGAACGATGAACTAGGTTGCGAAGAGACTTAAATATTAAGGGGGAAAAAACTTCCTATTTCAGGCTGCAGCTCAAATATCCAAACAAATACATGCCATATAATGTGCACGTGCATGTCTCTGTCCATGTATGTGTTTGTGTGTATTTGTATATGTGCCTCTGTATGTTCACACGTGTCTGTATGTATCTATGTCTATATGTATGTCCTACATATGTGTTTGTGTATGTGTGTGTCTGTCTGTCTGTGTACACTCAGGCCCCAGGCACAGCAAGCAAGTGTACCCCTCATACTGGAGAAAATCTTGGGCTGATTTGTATTCTGGTACTGCCCCTTACCAGTTTTGCTTCCTGAGCAAATGACATTGTTTTTCTGAATCTCAGTATTCTTATTTATAAAATGGCACATGTGATACTCACTATGAAAGGAAAAGGTCAATCAGTGTGTTTTTATTCACTTACCCATTTTAGTAATTAAATTGAATTAATTGCATCTGCACAAAATTTTGGTCATATTTTAGTGTAGAATCTCAATAGATTTGACTCCCAAACAGCCAATTTTGGTATCCAAATGTACAGATGGTCCTTATGAAAACATACATTTCTAATTAATCCTTACAGCAACTCCATGAGCGAAGCACAGTTATCTTCACTTTATGTATGAGCAACCGAGCTCTCAAGGTGTAGTAATCTGCCCAGAGTCACCCAGGGAATATGTGTAGGGCGAGGACGCACACTCACATTTGTCTCCAAAGCCAGCCTTGCAATTACTCTCTCCCTCACCTCCCTCGGCCCAAGGCTATTGTGAAGAACAGTATGGCTGTAGAATTGGCACCGGCACCCTGGTTCTCTGTATCCGGCCAATGTTTGCCCACTTCTCTGACACACCTGTTTTCCTTTGTATCCCAGGTGGGCACACAGTTTCTTAATGTCAACCCACCATCCTGCCCCACAGGAGATACTCGGAAGAAGAGGGAGCTGGGGACAATTCAAACTGGACAGACAGTGCATGCTATAGAAGCACCTGTGCTAACACATCTTAAAAGCACCTGGTGGCACAGGACTTGCCTTGCAAGTTTTTGACAGTCACTCAGCTACTGCATGTCACTGCTCCTGGTATTCAACCCAGGAGGTAACAGAAGGAGAACCGCTGGGACGTGACTGTTTAATCCCTTCCTAATCTCTGGATTCTCATGAGTACTTTAACTCTTCAAATATTGAACTGTAAGAATTTGGTTCACGGAAACATTATGGTCATAGGAGGCCGAGGTACTGAGCTATGAAATCCAGAAAAAGCAGAGGAGCAAAAAGACCGCCAGGGGGTTGAAACTTTGAAACTAGTAACGAGAAAGAGAAACAAAATCCTATTTACAAAATTATTATTTTTGTTTAGCAAGATATACAGAATCAATACTGCACAGAAAATTGCATAGCAAAAAAAACCTCTCAGTAGAGCCCTTTAAAAGCAATTTAATATTTTTAATAAGGCAAATCTTTCTGATCTTCAAGCATTTAGCCATGAAATTTTAAAATCCAATGAAAGTCTGTCTTTGATAAATGCTGCTTTACAAATTTTATTGTCCATGTAACAACCTAAGAATGCTGACATTCTTTAGACACTTACATTTAATCATAATGACAAATACTGAGCTTTCAAAACTCCCTTTCACATAATTTAGTAAATTTGGTGCCTTTAAAACATGGGTTTACTTTTCTGATATGTTGTCTCTCAAAACTGTAAATAAGGTCAATTTTCCCAGCAGCCTGCAACTATGCCTTATTCCCCAGCGGCCATTTAGAAACATAAAGCACAATATATTGCATGACAAATAAGAACACTTGAGAAGTTTTGTATCTCATTCATTAACAGTTCTTCAAAACATTTAGGCAGGAGTTAGTCCCATCATGAAATGATGAATGACATGATGGCACCAGGAGTCATGGCAAGGCCACTCACTCTGTCCATGAGACAGAGTTGGGGAGCAATTTTCCTCCCTTTGAAATTTCTCTTTCTTGTAAGGGCAGCGGGGAGTACACTGGACTATCGTATTCAGTAGATCAGGACTCTGAGCTACGCTCCAAAGTCAAGTTGCCTCTTTGAGACTCAGATTCTTCTTCAATAAGACAAGAACAATCATAACAGAAAAGGAGGATTGAATTCAACACAATATATGAAAGTGTTTGCAAACTAAAATCCATCTTTTTCAAGGAAGGCAGTATTTAACATCTTTATAGTTGTATTTCCGTTCTGATGAGAATCAAATAACATGACTTTGCCCTTGTGGGCAGCAGAATCTCACTCACTGTTTAAAGCGGCTCTTTTCCACTGTTATAGACTGATCATAAAATATTTCCGTGGTCCCTGAGAGTTACAGAAATATGTGAATGAATGAACACAAAGCCATTCCACTGCTAAAAAGCAAATTTGGCCTTAGTGTGTCTATTGATGGGGTTATCCTGGCCATCTATTTAAAATTACAGCCCCTACACACACTTCCTGTCTTCCTCCACAGCTAAATTTTTTTCATGACAAGCTCACCATCATATATACACTTTATTTTAATTCATTTATCTTATTTGCTGTGTCCTCCATTAAACTGTAAGCTCTGCTTGGGCAGGGGTATTTGTTTCATTCACTGTCATTTACTTTGCACCAAGAACAATGACTGACATATAGAGAAATGAATGAATGATGACCAGCCCATGACCGTTACACTAATACCCATATATCTGCAGCTAAAGAAAACCTGGAAACTATTAGGAATGGTTCATTATAAGGCTTATGTTGCTTTTAATGTTTCAATTCTGATATCTCAAAGCCCATAAAACACTTTGTTCACTTTTAATGTTTTCTATGATTAGCCTCGTCAGCAGTTTCCTATTCCAGGCATTTTTTGTCTGTTTAGTTCTTATCTCTGTAAAGAGGGAGTAGAGCTTGTGCCTCAGATGCTAATCTTAGATTTATAGAAAAATATAAGCCATAAAGAGGGAGTTTCCCACTCCCCCATTGCAGCTTAAGTGCAAATTCCAAATCCACTCTCCTAAGCAGTTACCGACCATTTAATGTTCATAAAATCCCAGTGTGTACTCAATTGAAAGAAACTAAAACATGATTATAAACAGCACTAACAATAAACAGGCATAAAATTCTTTACCACCCTCTGCTCTCACAGAGCTTGGGAGATCTGTCGAATTATCCTGTGGCAGATTGGAAAGAGGGAGTTGTGTTAGAAGTCACGGCCCAAACGCTAGTGACGCTGTGTCCATGTTTTACAGCTTGGGAATCACTACATATTTAGAAAACTCTAGCTTTGTTCGTTAGCTGTAACTGTAGAAGGGGAGCCTGCAGGGATCCTTCAAGGGAAAGAACCAGTGTAGATGGGGCAGAAGAACCAGGAAAAACAATCCCAGGATAGTGTTGCTTTCATGAATTTTTAAGAGGGACTTTCCTCTATCTTTATACAATCAGACAGAGAGTGGACAAGGTTTGACAATACAGGAAAGGGATACTTTTTTCTGTATTTAATTTCCTCAGGTTTCTGACTCCTTGAGCTTGAAAAACACTTCATTTTGTAGGGTTTTCCTAAATAAAACTCCACATTTCGCTTGTACAGGAAGAAACAGAATGCGATTCTATTTCCATTTCTAGAGCAAGTGCAACCACTTATTTGTGAAATGTTGAAGAGAGTGTAAAATGATGCAGATGGTTGTGGTAAAATGCTTGATGGCTTCCTTTCCCACCTGTGATTTTGCTGCTTTCTTCCTGACCTTCCCTTGTCTACTTTGTGCTGTTTTCAGGGAATTTTCCAGACAAAGCCTCGTGATTGGCTATCAGTGAATTAGAGACACAAAAGGCTCTAAATTTATCTTGTTTATTTCCAGAGAGAAAGATGCAATATAGATGGAAAAAAAAATGCCATGTTTGAAGACATTTGCTTCACTTAGATGTCTAATTTAGTCTCCAAAATGTGCAAACATGCAATAAATGCATTTACTTCTCTTTTAATTCTAGCATGGAGGCCCTTCCGTGCTTTGCCATAGACTAAGTAGTCACAGTAGGAAAACTCAGCTCAGATCCGGGCCATTTTAGTTTATGACATGCTGAGAAAGGCACTCACCCGCACTGACAGTGATAGCTTCAATGAACTGTTCTCTCCAGCTGTTGGTCCCAACCACGAGGGCCAGGTTTGTCTTCTTAATGAGTTTGTCCACAGTACTCTAGAAAGGTTGAAAAGAATAATATAATAACTGCTGGGTTTGTTAAGGCCTCGGGAAATCTAAGAGAGTGTTGATTTTGAAACCCCAGAGTTATATAAAGGGTAGCAGATGTTAGGCTCAGAACAACAGTATTGACATCAAACACTGTTATGATTATGCAAACAAGCATGGTTCTTAGTTGGAAACATTTTGAAATGGAAACTTCTTTGTAGCAAATACAAGCCTCCTTCACTGACTAACAGCCAATGAAGAATAGCCTCTGTGTTTAGAATAGCAGATGTTGCAAAAGCCCATCCATTCTCTTTGAATGCTGTCCCAACTTGCTTCTCTACTGACTTCATCTATAGTGTGCTGTCTGCAAGTGAATTAATATATGTTCTGCTCAGCACCACCTGTGAATAGCCTGCAGTAACAGACAGATTATGAAACCAAAAACTGTTATTTGGGGTTTTTGTTTATCAATGAAATGTAGCCAGACAACAGAGTCTCAAGGTTGCTCACTGCAAGATCATCAATAAACGGACTTTTCTTTGGCTACTAGTTTGGTCAGCCTACTGGCTGTTAGAGAATTCCACTCTCACCCTACTTGTGTTGCAAACAAGAATAGACAAGATAAGACAAGACAAGACAAGGTCAACTCTTACGGTAGAGGGCACATTGCAATTTACCTTGCCCTGAATTTCCCCTGCTTTACTGGCACTGTGCTGCATACCCCTTATTTTTCTTTGGTACTTTTAAAGCACTTTGTTTTGTACAATTAGCACTCTCTAGCTTTCTAAATTCAGTTAATGTAACAACAGGAGCGGCCAAGCATTTACAGGAATACTAAGTAAGCAGATGCACCCAAAGCGCTACCACAAATCAGGGCAACTACAGGAAAAGGGGTAATTTCCACAGCATTGAGGCTGCTCCTCCCAGAGAAACTACCACATCAACTAGTCTACCAAACATCCACACTTACTGTCAGAGCATCCTCGAATTTCCACTCATTGTAAAGAGGCAGAAAACAGGTATTATTTGTCTGAGGTTAAAATCTGTACATGTTTAACACGGTGTACCTGGATTGACTGTAGTTTGAGAGAGAGTATGTTATCAGCTAACGGGAGTAAGGAAACTGAGATTCGAGGGGCTTGTAGGAAAGGCCAAAGCCAAATCATAATATAAACCATGTTAGCTCAAGAAGAGTCACTGGAACTGACTTGAAACATTGAGAAGATAATAAACATGAAAGGGCCCATCTCCAACTGACTCACTCTGTATTTGCAACATTATTCTTGGCTGGATTATATGTCCTTAGGGTGGTGACCTTTCAGCTTCTAGCCTTGTGTCTAGAACTGCTGGTGCCCCTGATAAGAGCTCTGACAGTCACTGTTCTTGGCCACCATAACTTGAAGCACATGACACGCATCTGTCTTTCGTCTCTCAACTCAGCTACATCTCATCAAGCAGGCTTAGAATCTTGGTTGATACAAATTCAAAGTACTGTGTAGAATGCAACAAGAAATGACCTCAACTTTCCCTTATGTAATGGAAACTTGGGACAGCTCTCTCCAAAGGGGAACTCTCTCTTGTGCTGAAGCCAAGGCAGAGAATTCTATCACCTGGGAGATAAACAGCTGAACACAGACTTTCCTCAAGAAATATCTGCTAGAGAACAAATTTCTAAGATAAACTAAACACTTATACATGTGTAAAACCCAGGGTAGATATTAAACATTAGTTCACGTTAATCCTGCGGGACTGTGGGATAGTCAGGGTTCTTCCTAGGACTTAATTTGCATATGAATCCTGTCCTGGAGTGAATAAAGATGAATTTGAAGTTCAGATACCTAAACTCAGACATTGCTGTCTGTATTTACCTGGAGGGTTCCTAAATGCCAATGATCAGCTCTTGACTGCTCTAGACTTTCAAGAGATTGTAAAAGCTCACCCTCAGCAATAGGCATGAGTAAAGCATGTCCTTAGTCACAACATAGTAAGCGAAAACTCGGTGGGCAAAGCAGAGTGCGACATTGTATGGTGTCACCCAGGTTTGGGTCTCTAATGCAGTTTTGGGAGCTTTGAACAAGTTCTTTAAAACAGCTATGCTCTAGAAAGAAGTTTCTTAGACAAATGAAACAAAATCAAAATTAAGACTTGAGGGCACTTCAGAAACAACCCCCCAAAGTGCCCTTTAGCTGTTAATGGTAACTGTACTGATGATCTTTGAGGAGATGAGAGGAAATAGTCTATGGAAGCTATTCTAAGGGGGTAAGGGGAGAAGTACCCAAAACAACTGAACTTAAGTAAAGAAAATGTGGGACTTTGAAAGGTTCAGATCATTGGACTGGTTATCAGAAAGAGCTTTGGATCCAACAAAGCTTTGCTGCCTGGAAGAGTGTGCCCTGCCTTACCTAACCCAATACTTCTAAAGGAAGCTATCATGATTTCACTTCCTATCATGAGTGCATGGAAGGGGAAGGTTACGGATTATTCCATAAGGAAGAAGAACACACAATCCCCCATGAGAACTCTTGGAAGGGCGGGGACTTTGCTTTGGAAATGCCAACTCACAGAATCTCTGCTGCAGCAAGTGGCACCAGGCCCTGTGATTCCAAATGAAAAGAGGAGGAGTGAGGCTGGACACACCTGGACAAGAGATGGACAGATTGGTCCACAGACATGGACAATCTGAGATTCCTGTACTTCTGGAATCATAGGGAATGTGTGCATCTTCCAGTCACGGCTGTGCAACAAGCCAGGGTTCCATATCATACAACGGGTGGGTTCTGATGTCAGGATCTCCCTAGAAAGCTTTGGTTCTAGTGCTTATCTCTGCATTCTCTTTCTATGGGAATGAGTCAAAGGAAGCGTTAACAGATTCTCAGTGGCCTGAAAGGGAAAGTTTAATTGCATTTTTATCTTTTAATAATTCCACTATAATTGCAAAGACATTTTGCTTTCCACCTGTCTCCTATCAGACACCTTAATTTGTGAACTAAATTTAAAAAATAATTAATAGACCCAGCTAAATAAAAAGAGGCCACTATTATAAAAAAGAAAATCTAGATAAAATATTGAAGTTTCTAAGTTGGTGGCCTGGTTCTCCCTTTTGAAATCATTCTGGTTTTTCAAACAGGAGCAGAGTCTGCTTTTGAAAAACAGGTGAGGAAAACTGTTGTGCTCTGGGTTTGTAATTCTGGAAAGCAGGAGAAGCGATGCACTTTTTCATTTCTCACTGCAGAATGGAGATGTGGCTCTGCTCACTGTCTTCTCAGACATCGGGACTGTGTGAGTGAGAAGGGATGGTGGGGTAGGGGCAAAGAGGGGTGCTAAGGATCCACAGGAAGTTTCATCTCAAAGGCTTAAGCTCAACCCCAAGGCCCCTGTATTCAACTTCTGAAAAAATAACTTTCATTTTCTAGAGAATTGGGAATCCAATTTTATCAGCTCAACGATAAACTCTCTGGTTGCAGGCACTATACCCTCAGTATGTTGACTGTGCTAAAATGGCCTCAGATATGAAGAGGATGACAACATAAATGAGAGCTTGTCAATGGGATGTTCCATAGAGAGAGATTACCAACCCCTCCTCTAAAACAAAAGCCTCTTAAGTTTCAGCAGTATGGATGCTTTGCTTCTGACAGTTATTAGCTTTTTCAAATACAGCTTGGTTTCTTCCACACATAACAATCTCTTGGAATCCACCTTTGCATTTTCCTTCCTATCCCCTCAGATAGCACCTGCCTTTTGGGGCACCTCTGACCTTGTGCAGTGACAGATGCCTCATGCCAGACCCTCATTCTGATGCTGTTTAGTTTATAGGATCTGTTTGTTCCCTACTAACTCTACAATTCCAATTTGGCTCCAAAGGCCTCTCACTACCTCCCTTTCCAGATGGATCTTACAGCTTAGGCCAACACTATGAGCAGTTTTGGTCCCAAGGTGGGCCTGGCTTCCCAGTGGGCAATGTTGTTGAGCATACCTTGAATTCATAGGATTCTTCAATGATCACTTCCAACTTCGTGTGTTCTCCCAGGATGGGGCGCCCCATTTCTGCAATGCGCCTCTCCTCTTCCTCTTTGCTGGTCAGCGGCTGCTTGTCATCATATTCGTCTGTGAAAGGGAAGGGCAAGAGAGTGAGGAATGTACTGTTTTATTTGGAAATCCCTGGATCTTACCACAATAAATCCAAGGAGGAAGGAAGCCCTAATGACCTACTAAATGTCCCTTGGGTGAGATCATGAGGCTGGAGGGGAGAATTAGACAGACACTTGTCATACTGTGCAGCATATCACAGTGACAGCAGGTGATTATGATGCCCCACAATCTAGGCTCATGCAGTTGAGGAAAAGTAATGCACGGGGGCATAGCACTGAGAAAGACTCTGCCTGCACATTGTCTGTGTTGAGGGAATCACCCAGCTGGTCCCCGTAACGCTGGCTCAGCTGGCTATTTGTACACATTCCTTCAGCACATGACCAAAGGGAAACACAATTAAAAGCACTACAGTGACCTGAAGGATGGGAGTGTGTGGCCTCCTCCTCTCCATTTTCTAGCAACGACAGAAAATACCCCAGGCCTACAGAGATGGGAACAGGAAATTCTGATCTTAGCCTCTCACTTGTCAAAAGCCCCTGTTGCAAGTTAAGCAGCAAAACATCCATTGCATAATTTTGTAAGATGCCTGGGCTCCAGCGCTTCCTCTTTCTGGTGCAAAGCCCAATTGTGTTAGGAAAACCTTGACCATGTTAATCTTAAAGTAAACAGGGAGGGCGAGGGTGAGTCCTCTAGGGAGTTAATACTCACTCACCATGTGAGCCTGATTATTTCCAAAACCACCATGTAGCTCACACTCCAGGAGAGGCTAGTGGGTGCTGAGAAAATGTTAATGGAGCCAAGAGTCCATTAATGAGGGGAAGCTCACCAGTTGGTCCTCTCTGTGTGAAGGTCATTAGGACAAATCCCAGACTGAAAAGGCCATGCACATAAGAAGGACAAACACTAGTCCTGTAATTACTCTTATCCTTCAGGCCCAGGATGCTGGAACAAGACAGGCTACTTCCTCTCAGAGTCAAGTGGAATGAACATCGTCTCCAGGGAAACAGTATGGGTGATATGGAAAGACCTCAGCCCTGATGCCCTCACCTTTAGGACTTCCGGACAAATGCCTGCAACAGGAGTCTGTTGACTGAGGAGACATCCAAAACAGAGGGACTTCTTGCCTGGGCTTCCTGCCTTTTGCATTTAGACACCAGCTTTTGTGGAAGTCCATACCTCCCATTCCCTCCAAAGACCCATGGCTTCCCCTCTGCTGAGGAACCCTACTGCGATGGCTCCATTTGTTGCTTTAGCAACCGTTGCAGAGAATGGTTCCTAGCCCAGTTGCTCACTGCAAGGGCAGGGAGCAAATGGGCTAGAGGCACTGACAGCATTTTATATACTAAGTGTCAAAACCAAAAACAGGAAAAAGCAGAATGTAGCGTATCTATTAATTCTTTAGTACACATTTAATAGTGTCTTCCTAAAAGGCTATTTTAAAATTTGCTTTTCTATCCCCAGTGATTACAGGGCACCAAAGAAATTAGATGAAGACTTAGTGATTCTGGACAGGTCAGAAGCTGCTGAATGTTAGCAGAGGCAAAGGAGAGGGACATGAAGATTAATTTTAACTGTAAAAGTGGTAATATTTTTAATAGTAGGATTGGAAAGTTATGACCCAAAGGAAGGCAAAGATTTCTGGTTGGGGTCTCTTAAGATTTGTCCTTGTGAAATTATGTGTTTAGTCAAGGCTGTTGGCTGAGATACGTGAAGTCCAATTTATTCAGTGCTCATATCAATCAAATTTTGATTACCACTGCTTTCTGATCCATAAACCCAGGATAATTTTTTGGGTAGTTTTCATAGCAGCAGGTGATATTAGTGTCTTTGTTCAAAACTTTGGCTGACCATGGATGTCTTGAAGACTGGCATCATTTAAGAATTATTTTCCCAGAAGAAGAAATATTATAACTTGGATATCTATTTGAATTGTAAAGCCATTGGTGGAGAATATCTATTATGGTCCTCTTTTCTGTAGTTTACTTATAAACAATAAGTTGCTTTTAATGGGATTCAAGGCAATTTAGGTAGGAAAAATAGATAAATTATGAAAGAAAGGTGATGTAGTAGCATTGTTTAGTGCAGCATTTCACAAAATGAAACTGGTTTGGAACATGGTATTAAATAAATGGAAATGGTAGTAAATGAAATTAAGTCATACAGTAAATAAAAAAGTTTCTTTTTCAATAATCCTTCAGGCCTGATCAAGAAGAACTGCTTAATTTGGTGCTATTATATCTTTAACTAGTTCTTAATATTTGGGTTTCTACTATTTTAAGAGAGAGAATATAGTTCTCAGGCATAGAGCATTTGACTGTATCTAGCTAGAATTTAATAGCATTTTTCCCATTAAAAATTTTTATTAAGGTCATTAAGTATGAAATGTCTGTTTTCCTTAAGTACTAAGTTTGACAGTTGTTATCTCTAACATACCACTTTGACACCTCTTGTTTTATCTTTATTGTGAGGGTACATCCTCATTCTTTCAAAAACATACTTTGGCTTGTTATTATCTTTCAAAGATTTTTAGAGCAATTTTTGTGAAACCATGACTAAGTCAAAAATTTATGTTATTTTAGAACATGAGTTCTGTCATGGAACCAATGCAGCATAGACAGCTTGAAATATCAATGAAGTGTTTGGGAAGAATGTGGCTAATGAAAACACAGTATGTCGATGGTTTGAGAAGTTCCATTCTGGTGATTTTAACTTTGAAAATGAGCAATGTGGGCAACGTTAGATCAAAGTGGATAATGACAAGCTGAAAGATGTAGTGGAAGTGGATCCATCCCAACCTATGCGTGAATTAGCAGCAAGGTTTGACGTTACTATTCCAACAATATTGGACCATCTGAAGCAAATCAGCAAGAAGCTGGATAGATGTGTTCTGCATGAATTAAAGGAGCATCAGAAGAGAAATCATCTCGAAGCTTGCCCTTCTTTGCTGTCACAATATAAAGGCAAACCATTTCCACACCATATTGTTACATGTGATGAAAAATGGCCTCTTTTTGACAATCCCAGGGGTTCAGCACAATGATTGGATAAAGGTGAAGTGCCAAAGCACAGTCCAAAACCAAATATTCATCAAAAAAAAGCTCATGGTGTCTGTCCAGTGGTCCAGCGCTGGTATTATCCACTACAGCTTCATGAAACCTGGTCAATTGATTACAGTGGATGTCTACTGCAACCAACTGGACAAAATGATTAGGATGCTTGCCAGTAAGCAGCGAGATTGATCAATAGAGACAGGTCAATCCTCTTGCAAGACAACACTTGACCACATGTCACACAAACAATGCTGCTCAAATTACAGAGGCCGGCCTTGGAAACTCTCTGTCTTCCACTGTATTACCAGACGTTACACCAACTGACTATCACTTCTTCCAGGCTTTGTACCACTTCTTGCAAGGAAAAATATTCAATTCTTGACAAGCTGTGGAAAATGCCTTTCTCAATTTCACTGCCACTTGCTCTCCAGGCTTCTTCGCTGGTGGTGTAAACCAGCTACCATTAAGATGGCAAAACTGTGTCAATAGTTTAGGTGCATACTTTGATTAATTGTACTGATTCTTATTTGAAACATAATAAGTTAATTATTATAAACTTCTGATTTGAAATCAGACGTTGCATATTTAATGACCTAATAAATCATACTTTCTATTTATGACAAATGGTACTGGTTTTCCTTGTGACTTAAAGTTTTCTTTTAAAAATAAATTTAGTGAGCAAAAACATGAGGTAATTAAAAAGATTATATTAAGTGAATAATATAATTGGTATGCAACCAAGGCAAAAATTATAAAGGAGGTATGTAAATGACAAAAATTAAGGAAATACTGTCTTAATAGATTTCATGCTAATCTAAATAAAAGTGAGGTACCTTGTTTCTATCACATACTACACTCTTGCTCCAAACTGACTTGGATTTCTTAATATACTTTCATCCCATTGTCTATCCACCTGGAAAAGCTTTGCTATCAATATCTGGGTAAATTCTACTTATCTTTCAAAACCTTACCTCTTCTTACATGAAATATCTCCTGGTTGATGATTAGGGACTTAGGACTATCACTCTAACCTTAAATTAATTCCTTCATATTCATTGTGTGTATTGAACATGCATACTCTTATACATTGTTTTTTATTTTTAATAAATTACCTTGACATACTAATGTCCAGCATGTAAACTTGCTGAGATATTAATAGAATAGTATGTCTCCTTGCACTTGGAACTACCCTGGTATCTCCCAGGGCCTGTTACAAGGTATGGAATGTAACAGTAGGTGCTTGGTATTTGTTGTGTGACTCTTCAACTCATTGTTAGCAAAGCCTCTTATTTGCTCTGTCCATAAAAAAGGATCATTTATTTATTGAGCACATGTCTACACCACATCAGCAGAGCCACAGACCTCTCCTGCCACCCTCTGCCTTCCAGCAGGAGCTCACGGTCTAATGGGAAGAGAGACATTTAGATGGACAACTTCTAGTACAACATGGTAAGGACTGAGGACCAGGGTTGGGGGAACAACTCACTCTGCCTGAGCGGGTCAGGGAAGGCTTCAGGAAAGAGCAGCTATTTGAAATTGGCCTGGAAGAATGTATAAAAGCTCACCAGGTGAAGGTGTTGGTAAGGATGGCTAGGAGGTGGTGGGATGAGTAAATGCATTTCAGGCTGAGAGAAGTCAAAGTACAATGGCACAGAGTCACGGAAGGGGCAGGGCTATTTTTACTTTATAAGTATCGTGAGCTTATATGTGACTAAGAGATGGCAGGTGGACAGATCCTATTGTTGCTCTACAATGATAGCGACAAATTAGCATTTATGGTCTAGATTTTTGACACTGGCAAAAATGAGAGCTGAGTCTTTTTTTAAAAAGTGTCCTCTCTTTAGATACCTTTTACTGAATAGGGAAATGGTTTAACAGCATTTTAAAAATTTTGATCATTTACTATGTTTGTTTCCTTTACACTTTGAGCACTGCCTCAAACGCAGGTCATTTTACTATGGTAGAGGTCAGTTTTATTTCCTTACTTATGCAGAGTGACGACATACTGTTGTTTTAGTTTTGTTTCTCAGATAGAGAAAATTAATTTTCTCTCTCTATGTGCATACATATGAATATGTTTAAAACTCGTCATATTTTATTGAGAAGTTAGAAATAAATTACATAACATCATAGTCTTAACCAACCAAAACAATTTAAAGATCAAATGCACAATTAACAGCCACTGTTAAAATCAATATTGACAGGACATAAAACAATCCTGCAATAAATTCCCTAGTGGGGAATCTCTCTTCTCCTGAGTAATTGATTTTGCAAACAGCAACAAACAATAAAAGCTAACAGGTACCTGGAGTCAGGGAAAAATAGAATTTTGAAAAAGCTGCTTCTAATGCATTCTGGTTCGGGCTGCATTTTAAGGCGGCCTCACTGTGAGAGATGAAGGGCCGAGAGTGGGAATCCCTATTAGAAAACAACACAACCCACAGGGGCGATCTCGTTATTGAGATCTGTACCTGAGGAGCTACTGTTGGCATTCTTTAATGTGGTCGCAATTTCTAATCCCAATGAACCGTGTAGAATTTGGAAAAGGGTCCATGGCCAGCTGTGGGACAATTTGCTCAAGATTCTTTCAATCCTTCACTCAGAACTGTGCTGACAAGTCTGAAAGAAGAAATCTTTGCACCTGGATGGCCTCTCTGATTAGAGCCTAAGGGAACTGGTACTTTTATTTCCATGAGGAATATTCTGGAACAACTCTATAGTCAGGGCAGGTGTCATGATTATTGAACAGGGGTGTGGGATGTGAGGATGAGGAAAGTCTTACTGGGTCAGGCAGAGTGTTTTCTACCACCATGGCCAGGGGTGGGTGATAGTGAAGATTAAAGAGCAAATATCCCTGTTCTCATCCAGAGATTTAGTGCCATCAGATGATAGCGGGCTCTAGACCTATACTAGATTTGAGACAGTGTGTAATCCTCTAGTCACCCTGTCAATGTTCCTTTAATTTCCCTGTGGAGAAACCTCAGAGATGTACTATCACCTGTGCATATCTGGTTACTATCATGTTGCCTGGAGGCAGGGCAGGCAGGCTCTGGGACGAAATACAGCTCAGCTTTTAAAGAAACTTCATCATACTTGGGATGAAAAATTCACGTGTGAGAAGACACATTTGCAAGAAATCTGGAATGTATTAAAACTTGAGAGGGGGAAGCCACTGGATCAATTTTCTCTTTAAGTCCATGCAACCCCCTCCCTCCACAATGCCTCCTGTTTCGCCCTGATGTGGTTGTGTTGTGTTGTTATCCACCGCACCCCCAGCTGCCAGAGAAGCCACAGCGTTATTTAGCAATGTTTCAGAGGCGACAGAGCTAAAATGTATGTCTGTAATGTCTCTAAGAGCTAAAGAACACTTGAAGGCTGTGATTTTCAAGGGCCATGATGAAATGAGTACCTGCGAAGGTGATTATAGTAGAGGGAATCGGATGTTCTCTAGCGTGAACTTTCCTGAAGACAGGATGGCCTAGCAAAAGGACAGGAAGAAAATCAGCAGAATGGATTGCACTGGTTTGCTATCAGAGCTTTGTGGGATTAGTAAACTAAACATCACACCCATATGCACACATGGCAAGCAATGTTAGTTTGGGGATTAAGTGGTCATGGGTCACCCCTACATAGGTTGCAGAAGGGACCAAGAGATGGGGCAGTTGTTCCATGAGCCAAACCAGACTATGTTAATGAACCACACATCTTATGGTAGGAGGTACAGCCAGATTCCTTCAGGTGTCCGAAATGGAGTATCCAGGTCCTTTAAGTTACTACTTCCAGAGGCATCATGGAACAACAGAAAGCACTTGGTGTAGGGACAGGTGTCCTGGTTTTGAAGCCTATTAACACCAAGATTATAGCCTTGAGTAGGTTATTTCTCCAGTTTTTCCATATGTAAAACGAGGATTATAGAATCTGTTCTATGTCATAGGTTTGTTTGAGGGTCAAATTACATAACAGCCGGGAAGATGCTTACTACATTTATTTCCTGGGCAGTCTGAAGGGGAGAATGGTACATGCACTTGCAGGCTTTGCAAGGGTAAGCCACCCTCAGAACTGTTTGGATTAACCAGGCCTAGGGTTTCATTGAACTGCCAGTTGAGTGGACTTCCAGCTTCACTTGCTGTTTGCTTCTACCAAGAGCTACCCATTACTGGCCTGGGAATCATGAGACTGGGGACTCAGTGCCAACTCTTCCACACGTGTAAACTTGGACAAGGCCTTTCTGCTCTCTGAGTCTCAGTTTCCCCAATTGTAAAGTGAAGTTCAACTTGAAGGGGCTTTGTTCCTCTAATCTATGTTTTCGGCTCTCAGAATTGTTATAGTTTGGATTCCTTAAAAAGCCATGGGCCTTATTAAGTCCATTACGTGATGAACATAATATGACTGGAGGAGCAATATTAAAGAGGTATATTGGCTGCTATATAATTTTAATTAATTAGGGAACTCTATAGCTGTATGTCTTAGAAATTTGGGGATCAAACGTACCTTTTCCTCTCCATATTGAGCTGGAATACTTAATGTATTAAAATATCCATTTATTTTATTTTACTTTTTTTACAGACAGGGTCTCATTTGTCACCCAGGCTGGAGTACAGTGGTGTGATCATAGTTCACTGCAGCCTGGAACTCCTGGGCTCAAGTGATCTACCTGCTTCAGCCTCCCAAGTAGCTGGGACTACAGGTGCATGCCACCATATCCACCTATTGTTCTTTATTTTTCTGTAGAGCCGGGGTCTCACTATGTTACCCAGGCTGGTCTTGAACTCCTGGCCTCAAGTGATCCTTCCACCTTGGCCTCCAAAATTGCTGGGTTTACAGGCATGAGCCACCACACCCAGCCAAAATAACCATATTTACATGCTTTATTTTTCTCCTTTCAGTGTCCCCCTCAGTTTTCATTTGGCTGGACTCCACAACAATGGCATTTATGAGATATATCTGGGCTTTGGACTGAAAAGGGGTTCAGTGTGTAATTTCATGATGCAGGTGAAAATAAAGAGGTAGGAGGGGGAGGAAATAGAACAGTGCTGGGGGTAGAACTATCATCATATGGCCTTGGACTTAAAAACAGAAGGCCTGGCTCTGAGTCCTTGGATGGGTGATCTGGGTTAGACTGATTAATTCTTTGAATCTTCATTTCCTCCCCATCTAAGTAAGGCCAATAAAGTCTTACTCCGTAAGGTTGGTAACGAAATCATATAATGAATAAGAAACCCTTTACAAACTCTCATGAGCTATAATATATAGGGCGTTATCATGTCATATGACTGGAAGGTCAAGGGGAAATAAGATCATAGGTCCAAAGGGCCTTTCAATGAGGCAAGGTCTAGGAACAACCAATAAAGCTTTGCAAATTCTGAAAGAACCTTTAGAACTTAATGTCCATCACTAATAATACTGGTATTAGACTGTGGATCAAATGGCTTTTCAATTTCTTTATATCCTGCTTCAAATTTAGGTTTTCACACTCAGCTGCACAAGTCCATGTAAATAAAAGCTGCAGGCAAAGTCCAAGGGCTAGATTAATTCTCTGCCGTCCCTGCATCTCAAAGCCTTGACTTCAAAGCCTCAAACTGACTTCAAAGAAAAGCTCTTTAGAGCTTAAAGCTGCTTTGCACTCTGCAGACCTAAGTTTTAGAACTTTCCTCAGCGGCATCAGTAGAGGGTGGATCCTGGGCATTCTAGCCTGATTTAGGAGAAGGGTCAAGTAAAGTGAGACAGCTTCTTGGAAAGGAGAAATGGACAGGCCAATGTAGAAATTTCCAGAGAGTTCTGGACCGTTTTCATTTCTAACTGCATCAATTTCAAGTCTTGGGCAGAGGTGGTAACAATAGAAAAACTGCTATTTCAGATTAAAGTTTCAGCCATAAGGAAGAATTTAACCAACTACATAAAATGACAGAAACCTTTAGAGGAAGTTATTCTGTCATCTTGGATGCAAGATGTATAGCCAAGGTAGGAAATGTTGGCCATTACTGGACAGATACCATAGAACCTGATATGAAGAATTTATGAGAAAAGAAAATTTAGGTCCCATTATCTGAGATACTAAAAGAGAAGATAATTCAAGTGACATGGAAGTCCCTAAAAACAAATTCGGGACATATTCAATGATAAAGAAAATAGAAAGATATCCAAACCCATCAATGCATTTTAACAAGGCATTATATAGCCAAATATTTTTCAGTAAGGTTTCTATATCAGGCTGCATAGGACTAGATAGCATACTATTTCTACAATGGTTGACTTTAAAATAATAATGACTTCAGTGAGTCATGAAGGCTAGCTTGCCAACTTTCAACCTTCCTCAAATCTCTCAAGGATAACTAATTGATCCTTAGGTGACAGAATCAGAATATTTATAAGAAGACTTCAATGAGTTAAAATGATGGAATGAAAAAAAAAAAGATAAAAGTTTTTTAAAAAATGTAAATTCCTGCACTGGTGTTAAAAAATAACCTTCCGTGGTACAGAATTGGGGAGATGTGATCAGAGAGAGCTTCAGATACATCAGATTTTAAAAATCTAATGTGAGGACTTGTCCTGTTTAATAATTTCATCTTTTTCAATTTCTGTGTCTCTGAGAGTCTATTAATCATTTTGTCATTAGATGCTGTGTCTAGAGAGAAGTAGTAGATAGTTAACAACCAATGTGAAATTGCTCATATTTAGAAAATTTCACTTTGGATGAATCATGTTGGTACTACTTGCTCATGACTTTACACTAACAGTGGTTTAGGTTAGCCCCAACTCCTGCCATGGTATTTTCCCTAATAGAAATTTTGGAAATTTTTTCTTCTAAATATTTTTGCTCGGATCTCAGATTTTAAAATTTTGATATCTGTATAATATATTGGAAAATTTTGATATTTGCACAATATATTGGAAAATGCCATGTAGGCCATTAGAGACATCTTCAGCCTGAAGCTTCAGGCAAATTGGAGCTACTGCTTAAATATTTATTTCCCTCTCTAAATCTGCATAGATGACTCTGAAAGGGTGAGGAGACATTTACAGACAAAAGAGGGTGCTGTAAAGGAATATCTTCCTTTTGTACACAAGAAAATAGCTTTAGAGTTGTGTTAAGTAGTGCAATCAACACAAGCTGAGTACCATTCTGAACTTAAGGGTTTTAAACTATTTTATTGGCATTTTGAGTTTTTATAGAGCACACTGTCGTTTTCATGTTATTAATACTAAAACCTAAGTCCCCAAAGAGCAGCTTGGACTGGTGTGGTGGGATAATGGGAAGGGACTGCTCTGTCCCCTCCCAACATGGCATTATCTATTATTAGGATCCTAAGCTTGGGCCATAGAGCAGTTTTGGATGTCAGCTCCCATGTTTCTTTGAGGCCAGCCACTGTGTCTTATTTTCTCTGGTACTCTTTGGAGCATCTATCAGGGCACTGAGCATCACGTGTAGCATCAGTGCTACACGAACATTTGGCCATTGTTAAAATGTGAACAATTACAGTTTTGCCATATAAATTACTTATCAATAAACACAACACACATGTTGTTAACTTGTAAATTGTTAAATGTGTAAAACCAGCAAGAGCACACCATTGCTGCAGTTAAATGTTAATGCAGATTATATGTTTGTTTGGTTTGGGTTTTTAGGGTATTTGGGGAAAAACAAAGAAACATTTTTTAAAAAAGTCTTACCATACAGGTATTTTCCTTCAGTAAAAGCAAATAAAAACGAGAAATTATTTTTTAAAATGAAATAACATATGGTGAAAACAGGCAGTAAAAATAAAATTAGCATTAGACTTAAAAAATTCATACCTGTTATTGTGAAGCCACCTAAAAAAGAAAAAAACAAATAATTGTTACAATTTAACTTACACTCTAAATAACAAATACCAGTGACATCAGACACCCACCCACAGTACAAAAGCTTGCCAACTTAGATTTACAATTAAGAAGAATAAGAAAGTATCCATTCATGACCAAATCACTAATCATTCTTTCAAGATTATGGGATTTAGTGCACAAACAATTCTTGTGCATATCTAAGAAATCACTGATTTTTTAAAAGGTTATATATACTAAATTAAAAATGTAATATAAACTATTTGACCTTAACAAAAATGAGGCCAATGGCCCTCAACAACAATCTTGCTAGCAAATCAATAAAAATAAAAGTCAGAGAGCTATATTATATCACCTGACAGAAATGGAAAATAACCTAGAAAAATGGAAAGGAAATGCAAGAAATGAAATGCTTACCAAGCTCATTCAATAACAGGGCTGTGAAGGAAACAGACAAAGACAAACACAGAATAAGAGACCAGATGAATAATGAAAGTAAGAGGAATATCAGCAGAAAGAAATCCAGGCAGATCTGATCAGAGCGGTAGGGAGGCACTGCTAAAAAATTTGGTGCACCCCAAAGACATGTGGCATTGGGAATATTTCAAAATAAAAAATCCCAACAGATATTTCTGCAAATGTGTGTGATTGAATACATACATATATTTGTATATATGTAACCTTATATATCAGTTCTTTATATTTAATAAGACATTTCTACTATGTATGTTTATACATAGTGAATATATCTAGTTTACCAGTAGATACAATACAGTTTACCAGTAGAAACACTGTATGAAATTAATTCTCAACTTGATTTGAGTGAGTCTTCTGCTTTAAATATTGCCTAGATTTAATCGATCTAAAATATAGAAGTCTTAAATCACCCAGGATCTTAGATATTGTGCATTTTATTCGATGAGATCTGGTGAAACATCCTGGGGAATTCTATTTTGGCTGCCCTGCATGGAAGGGGACTTTGGCCCAAGGTAAAGCTCTCTCTCTGAGCGTTCTATTTGGATGATCTTTTGGCCACCAAGAATTTCTTATGTTTTTTTAAATCCTTAAAGTTTAAGAGTTCCAGGAATGAATGCTTATTTGTGTCCTTATCTGTGATTTCTGCACATTATTAGATAACCAGAATCCTTCTAGTGGACATATAATTCCACGAAACCGACAGGGGAGGGGAGCGGGGAGATGTATATAATTTGTCTCTCAGTTTATGTGCTTTAAACCCAGACTGTCTATAGCACACTTTAGTAAAAGCAACCTGGCCAAATGTATCCAATAAATCACTTGCTGAGTTGTAGATGGGAATGTTATGATTACTTTTTTAGGCCTAGTTTTCTTTCTAATGATAGCAGCCTTAAAGGATACTTTCCAAAATGAGTCAGTAATTTACTTAAAGTGACAAGAATCCACGTGGTGGGTATGAAATTGGATAGCGCTATTAAGGAATTTTAATTTATTGTTACATGAGGGCATACTTTACTAAAAGGACAAATGAAAAAGCTATATCCAAGATGCTCTTCCTTGAGTTAAAAGAGGAATACATTTAGAAGTAAGTGCTTTTTTCTGTATGTTAATGGGACATTTTGATCCCATCTTTGTGAGAAATCAGCGCAATTTTCTGGCCTCTTTTCCTTGTCTACTGTCTATGGAGCATATTAAATAGGCTGCATTAAAATGGGTCCCCAGTGCTCCTTTCACCGTCATTCTAAAGGCTCTTGTTGCCATGTTGAAGTTGATTAAGTCAGGGACACACACTTTTTTTAATCGGATGGATTCTGAGGCCAGTGAGTTCTCATAAATGTGGGATTAAATTCTCCCAAATATTGGATCTATATAAAAATTTATACTATATATTTTATTTTTCCGCCCTACATATAAAAGTATAAATTTCATTCAAAGTGGTCCATGTCATCATCTCCTATATTGCTTTCACCAATTGTTGGTATGTACTTAGTAAAAGCTATTAACATGTGCTATGCTCATTTACATATATAAACAGGATTCCTTTTAAAATGGCCACTATTAGAAGATAATTAGAGGAAGCTCTAGTAATAATTTGGAATAAAAATCATCTGTAAAGATGATAAAAATTCCTGTTTTTCCTAAATAAATATAGGCCATATAAAATAGATATGAAATTAAAGATAGGAAGAAAAATTGGCTTCTTTCTTCTAATGTTTTCTAAAAGTATAAGCATAAATCAACAAAATCTAGTTATAAGGATGCTGCTTTTATTTTTTCCTTTCATTGTGCATGTTAAAAATTAATTAATTCTATAGGGATCAAAAAATTTTGGAGCATAAGCCTGGATAGGCCTTGAGTAAGGATTACATTCTTACTGAAGGATCATGTCCTTCTGACTAAAGAAAATTGATTAACAGCTATGGTTTTGCATTTATAGTACCTTTTAAATGCCATGTTTGATGACATGAAAAACATCATTCCAAAATGAGAATATTGTTAACTACTTGTTAAGGATTTTTATTCTTATTAATTTTCTTAACTGGGTTCTCTAAAGAAGTCTAATTATTGAATGCTTTTGAAATTCTTTATTAGTTGCCATTAGACCCATCTACTACTGCTAATTAGTATTAAGTAGATTTTTTTTTTCCTTTCAGCTCTACTGAAAAAAGCTTGAAAAGGTATTAAGTAGTCTTTATCACTAACATTTTAGGGGAGATTTAATAATTGGAGCAACATTTTAGAATGAACCCTGAGGAATGAAAAAATAAACACATTCATGTCATTATTTCTGAATTATGAAATATCTTCCCAGTATTATTAAATCTGGTTGCAGTCAAGGTTAGTTGGCATTTCCTAAAGAGAATGGGTATTGCTTGGTGCACTTGTGAGTTAGGGGAGGGAAATGAAAAGGCTAAAGCTTCAAAGGCAATGAAGTGTAGTACTTGGAAGCTGAGGAAGAGGAGAGAGTTAAGTGTGAGAGTAGGGAGACACGGAGAGAGAAGAGTACAATTTCTCGCTGGTATGTCTTTGTATACTCTCACACCTTTCATTCCTCTTCTTATCCATTTTGGTTCCTCAAGCACAAGGGAGAAACTGCACTCTTTCTCATATTCCTCATGGTCAAATATTCTAATGGTAATGATCTTCCTGTGGGAACACAAGACAAAGGCAAAACAAATGGTTGGAGTCACACGCTCATGCTCTTGGTGTCCACCAAGCTGAATGTTACTGTGATGTTATGGAGGGAGAACTGGCAGCACATGGACCTCCTGAAGTATGTAAAAGGGCATCTTAGGTACTCTCGGCTGGCCCCCATTAAGTTTTCATTGCTAATTTACCACTTGCACAGATTCTTCTGCTTTGGTTAGTACTCAGTAGGTATCTTAAATTAGAAAGACAAATAAAAAAGTTGGCGTCATTTTGTCATTGCACGGCATCTGCACCAACTCTTCCAGAAATGGAAGTTTGATTGACTACCCTGAAAATTAATCTCTCAAACTCTAATGCATGGAGTGGTCAAAATTGGCCAGCGTAGCTACAGGTCTGCCTGCCGTGGCGCAGCACGAGGTCTATGCCCCGTTACATAGGTGGAGGGATGTGTGCGTTGTAAGTCATGTTCTGAAGAGTGCAGGCTCCCGGGGGTGGCACAGGCCAGCAGAAGCTGTTGGGCTCAGCCCCGGAGCAGCTCCCCCACCTTTCTTCTCACTCATCTCCACCAGGCGGGGCTCTCCAATCTCAAGGAAGAAGGTCTTGTTTTTCTCATACTCCTCATCATCAATTACCTTGACAGATATTGTTTTGCTGAAACAGAGAAGAATAGAAATTGACGAACAAAGGGAAGAGGAAAGAGAAGAGAAGGAACATAGAGAAGAGGAAAGCAAGGTTAACGAGTTGCACTTCCAGACAAACAGCAATTGAGAAACTTCTGTACTGTGATTTTTTCTTCAAGAATGAGTATCAGATAGGTCTGAAAGGTTGGAGAGGTCACCCAATGCATAGCTCCCCTGCCCAGGGCCATCGAAGTGTTTTGGGCAAAATATAGCACTCAGTACTAATAGGTTTATCACCATCATGAAAAGGAAAAGCAGAAAAACACAGATCACAATAATAAGAAGAGAAAAATATATTTATTTAGTGAATGCCTTTACCATCAGATTGTCTGAGCTGTGCCCTGGAATTCACTCTTTTAGAAGAAATCAGTAAATCATATCAAGCTATTAATGGAGGTTATCTCTGAGTGACTGGCTTATGGGTTATTTTTTCTTTCATTGTGCTTTACTGTATTTCCAAACATAATATTTTTTTTTTTTTTTTGAGACAGAGTCTCACTCTTTTGCCCGGGCTAGAGTGCCGTGGTGTCAGTCTAGCTCACAGCAACCTCAAACTCCTGGGCTCAAGCGATCCTACTGCCTCAGCCTCCCGAGTAGCTGGGACTACAGACATGCGCCACCATGCCCGGCTAATTTTTTTTTCTTTCTATTTTTAGTTGTCTGATTAATTTCTTTCTATTTTTAGTAGAGACGGGGTCTCACTCTTGCTCAGGCTGGTTTCGAACTCCTGAGCTCAAACAATCCGCCCACCTGGCCTCCCAGAGAGCTAGGATTACAGGCGTGAGCCACCGTGCCCGGCCCAAACGTAATATTTTTAATCATGAAATTTTACTAAAGTAATAAATGTATAAAAAATCAAAAAAGAAAACATAAAGTCTTTTATCTTACCCCACCCAGTGTCCTAGACTCAAACTCTTATTCAGTTAAGTTAGATTTTCTTGCTAGGACACAACAGGAAGTTGTTCGTGTTTTGTTTGCCTTTCTGAAGATGGAAGCTTTGGCCTCTCAACAGCTGTTTTGGAAGTGGGGTGGCAGCAGGTGGGAGTCATGATGTTGTGGTTATTTTCAACCCTCCCAAAATTGAGTTTTAACTTTCACTAAATATGCCATTTACACCACTTTCAAAGTCCACCCATACAACAAGGTATTCCGATAAGAATAATCGGAATAATCTAAACTTTAGCAGTTCTTTCCCTATGGTCCTATGGCTGTCAGTGACTGACAGGCAGGTAGGACAAATGCAAATATTATGCAAATTCCAACTTCCTTAAACATCCTTGATGACTCTGAGAATAAATCAATCTAATGTTACCTCAATTAATGAGGGCTTAAACATTCCATATATTACAACTTACTCCCCCTAAACAATGATTTTTCCTTGAAATTTTTTTTTCAATAACATTGGCCAAGAACATTTCTGATTAAAATTTTTGAAACAATCAGTTTGTATAGACAAAAAGTTTTAATGGCATACCATAGACAGTCTTTAAGTTTGGTGGAATTTTCTAGGTCTTTTGGAAGGAAATTGGTTTATAATTTCGTTTCTATTTTATTGATCAAAGCCATCAAGTTTCATTTAGACCTATGCATGCTAAAGACCATCAGTTTTCTTTCTTGGTAAGGAGGCATAGGTAGAAGTTGCTTTTAATTCTCTGAACTTCCCATCCATTAATGCCAAATGCTTAAGTCTTACTTTCTTGGCTTAGCATTGTAGAAGTGAGACCAAGTGATTGGTTCTGGTCCCTTGAAGCCCCATAAGTACTCTCTGTTCCTCAGCTAAAGAAAATCCCTGCATGAAGCTCACATTCCAATTTATCACTCCTAAGAAACTGGAGCTCATGAAACTACCTTTTCTATCTCAGCTCTGTCCTTAAAGACTGAAATACTTATGCTTGATGAGCACTTTAGCTATAAATAACAAAAGTAACAATAATTTTTTAAAGTAGTTATTTACAAAACTACCAATAGTATGGACAAAGTCCCATTACATGTATAATATGAACAGTTCCTGCCTAACTTTTAGAACTATGTTCTTGGAATTCACACCTATTTTTTTTAGTATAAAAAATTAGCCTGGCCCGAATAAACTGGGATATTTAATTATTCCCCAATTTCCCCAAAATACAAAATATCAGAGAAAACATAAGAGGATAGATGTAAAGAGTGATAATATTTGGACTTTTTATTTCAGAACTGAATTTGATGATGTAAGATACATCTATCTTACATAAAATATCTATGTAAGATCTACACTCTTCTATGGATCAAATTTAACCTACAAAAACCTACCAAATCTCTCTTCTCTTTGTCATCAAAACACAGCCATTTTAGGTATTTAATTTCCATCTTACAGCCTTGCAACCTTAAGCTATAGCTGTACATTTCTACTGAAACAATCAGGATCATGTGACGAAGAGTGGGATAGTATTGATGGACATTGAAAGGGCTGTGCTGCTGTCTGCCGGGGAAGATGAGAAAAAGATAAGTTAGAGGATGAGAGAGAAGAGACTCCTTTCTAAATTCTCACACAAAAGATTTTAGTGAGGATTTCATATATTTAGATGCTGCAGTGGCTTTTATTTTATTTTTTTTAAAGATTCATCCTCTCTTTAGGCATCCTCAGAGATCAGAGGTCAACGGAATGATGGGCATTTTGCATTTCTTGATTCACAGATCTTCAAAACTGCCCTAGAAGTAATTCCTAGTACCTACAGTTGTCAGAGAAAACAGTGACTCTCAGAGAAGTTAGTAACCCCCAAGGTCACAAAGTGAATGTCCTGTGACTGGCTCCAAGGACCAATAACTTCCAATTATATGGCCCAACACCCATTATCAAGGCACTTCACTGTAGGGTACATCAAACTGAAACCACTCCCATTGTGAGAGAGTCAGGTTGCAATGTTCTTGCTGTGTTACTTACAAATATTTGACGTTATATTTCTCCATCTTGTATTCCCAACCCAGCCTGCATCTCATCGCATATTTTACTGGATTGTAGAAATAAAGAAAGCACAGTGGGGATGGTAGAAGTCACCTTATTAATGGGCGCGTGTTTGTGTAGGAAAGGTACCAATTTCATGCTCACAGAGCAATACGACAACATATTCACATATAAATATAAACAAGCAAACAACTTATTTTTTCTTATCTTTGGTGAATAGCATAGATTTTAATCCTCTATTGTGGTAATAGCTTTATTTTCTATACTCTGAGTAGCTTATGAGTGTGAGAAATATAGTTATACAGCTCCACACAATTTGTTTGTATAAGAAAATAAACACCATTTATCATTAGAGAATCTCTATTCATTAAAGTCACAATCCTTAGAAAATATTTAAGTATTAGATAACTAGATAACTAGTGATAGTAGAAACTGGAAGATGAAGAAAAAGAAAAAAAGTACTTCCGCAGGTGCCTGGCAAAGACTTCTAAAATAGATGGAATTTGCATAATGGCATATCATTTCAAAATCATTAGTAATAGAATCAATAATGGCCCTGACAGGAGAAGTCATTAAATTATATATTGATTTAGCTCCTCTTGCACAGTAAAGCTATTAATAGGAAACTTGATTATTAAAGGACTTTTCAGTGGGTCTAAAGTGGCAGGATGAAGTCAGTCCTTATGAATTAGCCCTTTAATCAGCAGAGTCGAAATGTAGAAGGCATTGGTTATGTTCACCTCTCGTTTCAGAACAGAACTATTTCTCTTAGCAAAGGCAGCAAAGAGGTGAAATAAACCAATGTAATTTTTGAAGGAACATATCCTTGGGAGGCCTTCTCCTCACTTTTCAGAGCCTAATGTATAAAGGATTCTGTGGCTATGTCTTCTATCACGGGGGCTGTTACATGGGATGGGGATGGCTTAGTGAAGACGCCAGTTACTCTGGTTTGATAATCAGCAAAAGCATGCCTTGTTCCTCACAGTTTTGCAGTAGAACCACAATCTCAAGGACTGAATGGACCTTGAGCATTTTCTAGTCTGCCCCATTGCCACACCAATCCCATGTCAACAGGCCTTTTGCCTTGTCTCAAGGATTCCATTTCCCTGAGGACACAGATCCATGCTGGCTGTTCTGTTTACCAAAGGAAGCAGTCAGATAGCTGTTGTCACTTCTTTAAATTGGCAGGTTAACAAAAACAAGACTGCAACAATTGGGTAGATGTAGCCCTTCATCCAAACACAATTTTTACATTATTATTGCACTGATAAGGAACAAAGAGAAAAACTGGTGTCATGCAATTTTCAACTACCGTAATTATTATGAAGAAGGTTAGGAAAACTTATTTTTTTTACATCTCTTTAAGTGTGAATAGCACACTATAAAATTATATTTTCTGGAAACTAGCAAAGCAGTTACAAATCTTATGATAACATTAAAATATCTCTCAATGTGGCCAAAATTTTTATGGAAGTACATTTTGGTTCCATTTCTTAAAAAAAAAAAATGGTTAAGAAAGATCAATTTATTTAGTGGAAAAATACAGATCATCCCTTTTGATTTTTGCAGGGCCTTTCATATGATGATACCAAACCCACATCTATACTTTACTTCTCTGTCTCTTTTTCTTATCTGATGGGTCTCAAAGGACCCGAACACCTTCAAACAGACTAACAAGGAGTCCTATATCTGGTGGTGACTCAGGCAGACAGTCAGAAAGGAAAGAAAGGTGGTTTTATTAGCGGTTGAAAAAGAAAATCTCTTCATAATATATTTTAGTCTCTCATTGTTAAGCTGAAGTGGTATCACAGTCTCTTTTTCAATATAAGCTTCACTTTGTCCTTCTGTGGGGTTTTTTCCCCTAAGACTGCCCTTGATGTTGGGGGAAGATGAGAAAAAGATAAGTTAGAGGATGAGAGAGAAGAGACTCCTTTCTAAATTCTCACACAAAAGATTTTAGTGAGGATTTCATATATTTAGATGCTGCAGTGGCTTTTATTTTATTTTTTTTAAAGATTCATTCTCTCTTT